CAAGCCTGATGTAACTGACGTCAACTGATGCTGAACAAACCAATTAGAGGAAGTCTGTTTGCAGAGACAAGCGAGTGTCAGGGAAAAACCACGTTAAACACAGGAGACAGACACACCAGAACATAAGTAGCTTGTCTCTGCAACCAGGCTTCCTCTAATTGGTTTGTTCAGCATCAGTTGACGTCAGTTACATCAGGCTTGTGATTGGAGGAAGTCTGTTTGCAGAGACAAGCGAGTGTCAGGGAAAAACCACGTTAAACACAGGAGACAGACACACCAGAACATAAGTGATTTCTTAATTTTGGGTTGGAAAAGTAGGGGTCGTCTTGTACATGGGGGCGTCTTATTGATGGAAAAATACAGTAATTCAGAACATGTAAGTTAGGGTTTACATACAAGTTGCTACTGAAATATGATTTGGAGACTGAACAAGTTAAATGATCAAATGTATACAGGACAACTGATACACAACAATGGGAGTATCAGTTCATCCACTGGTACATTACTCTAATGCTGATTGCTAAAATAGACAATGCAGATTCAGAAAATTGTTGGAAATGTAAAAATCAAGTTATAATGTTTTACCATATCTGGTGTCATGAAGTACTATTTGGGATGAAACAAGGCATGAATGTTGATTTTTTACCAGTTTTTTTTTAAGTAAATATTACCAAACTTTATATACACTTTATATACAAAATACACTGAGCTGACTTTATATATGATAACTGATACCAGAATATCAGTTTTTTTGTTTTATGCTGGAAATCACATTTAATTCCTTCATTGGAGTGTCAGGGAAAAACCACGTTAAACACAGGAGACAGACACACCAGAACATAAGTCACTTCAAAGCAACTTAAAACTATGGAAGTATGCACCAATGCTTAAAATAACTTCATACATCAGAAACAAGACTGATGTTACAGTAGTTTCAACTGCATTGGAAACTGTTTATGGAGTACAATTCTGTATATCGCTTGCTGCCACTTACAAGGTTTGTGTTCTCATAAAATAAAGGCTCTCTTTTATTATGATTGTTTATTTTATTATATGGATCTCTCAGCTAATGTAAAGATTGGTTTTTGTAACAGTCAAATATAACAGTTACAAAAGCATTCAAAGGGTTAACTACCATGTTGATCTATAAGGACAAAAGCAGAATGTTTTCTACTTCCTTTTCATCTTATATTATTCTGTTAACTTTTCCATCCAATACTTGTACTTTGTCATTTCTATGCATTTTTTTTATTTTCTTTGAAAATAAAGTAATGAATGAAATACAATAAATAAACAAATGAAAAGGTGCTTGAGTTGATGGAGAATAAGTCAGACTGGCAGGCAATACTGGAGCTAATTCAGTCAGTGAAGCTATGTGGTTCACAAGCTGATTTGGGTGCCACACCTCAGGCTGCTTCTCCTCCTCCTGCACTGACTGCCTCATTGCAGGGACTCTTCCTGAGTATTTCTTATGTTTGCCAGCTACGCACAAAGAGATGCCCAACAAAACCTCTTTTTTTAACAGAGCTGATGGCATGACCCTGCTTCCCATTTCACAAACATCGGTGTGATATGGAAAGGTAGGGAAAAGAAGAACAGCACAAACAGAATATTCAAATACTTTACTATATTCAAACTATAACTGGTTTACTAGTTATAGGAGTTTGTTTTTTATAATTCCTCATCCTGTTATTTCACTTTTATATATAAAAGTGAAGTTAGGAGGCTCTGCTTTCATGATTCACATGACCACCTGGTACCTTTATATATAACTTATACATATTAATTATATATGTCCTCTCAACAAATTATTTTTTGTTGATCCTATCTTTCAGGGGAGCTCTGAA